AATCAGGGTTCCGATCTCGAAAGCCACAGGGCTCACTTGGAGTCTGAAAAGAGGCACGCTATCTTCCAATGTTATGCCTTCCATCTCCCAGTGGAGATTCATTAAGGCATCTGAATTAGGAGTTAGTATTGAGACCCAGATGACATCAGCATATACCTACCTCTTTCCTCAGGTTCAATACGCCTGACTGGCCCATTAGTTGTCGAAGGAGGTGAATCCTCGAAGATGGTGGAGTCGTCGCCGATAGATGGGAAATCAGAGCATGGTGTTCCCCGGGCCATGATAGGAGTGCTCTGGAATTCCGAGGGTGAAGGGATACAGATCTTCTCGGCGGTCAGGGGTGAAGACATAAGAGGTGAAAGAATGCCTGGATGCTCTACACAAAAGCCGCTGGCGACACGAGAGGGGACCTAATATTTATACTTAGACCTGCTGGCTGGCACACTGGCGACAGCATCAACTACAAAATTGTGGCAAGGCTAACAAAAGGGGCCACTATAACCATTAATTAGGCTGCCCATCTCCAAAGCATCCAATTGCGCCCGTCATTTCTGGCCCCGGATAGTTTGGCGCTGGCAGTTTTCACATCTCATACATGTGTAGAATCCGCCAGAATCCTTTACAACCAATGGAACAATTGCCGACAAGGTCTGTATGTCTGGCACCTGGCATACCTGCAACACTAGCTAGGTAGATGCGTCAAACCGGGCCGCAGAGGGAAGCCAGACTTGCCTGCAATATGGTCGCCCCTCTTTTGACGGAGCGCGTAGGCCGTCGTGAAACCTGTTCGAGTGCTAAACTCATCCGCAGGAGCAAGGTGCTGTCCAGGGCAAGCGTTCGATTCGAGAAGGGCGATGCTGTTCAGCCAGCCACGAGTCCTAGCAGACGCCTTGCAAGGAGCGAGCTACACCGCAGTAGCCCGCACAGAGGTAAAAGGTAGAGTCTGCCCGGCCGCGCTCACGTGTCTGCCCCCTAGTCTCTTGCTCCCTTGCTCCTCAGATGGGCGTCATATGTTTCCATGGTGGTATCAACAACCGTGCCTGTGCCTCTAGCATGTCCATGTTCCGCTCGCAGTGCAGGTACCTGGTCGAATGTCCATCTTGTGCCAGGCCGATTTCGCCCTGACTGACTGGCAGAAGCTCAACGTCTTGCGAAGGCCCGGAACTGATGTGTATTCCTTCTCAAGATCTCAATTAGCTTTGGCGGCCAATAATCCAGGCAGAATTTACCTTGGAGCGCTGGCATCTCTCCACGACGTTGCCGTACATTCAGTTTCCCCGAGCGTGCGTTGGGGCTGAGGATCATCTACTCCACTGGTGTGGCACTGGATGCTTGGAATTTCTGCCACGACGGAACATATGCCAATTCACGCTGCTCGGCCGCTCAGAAGAGGCCCAATTGCTAGCAGGGGAAGACGAGACATTCGAACCAGGAAGGAGACTGCCTTGCCTCGCTCTGGGCTTTCTGTCGTGTTCTTGCCGGCGACGGAAGTTCTGCTGGTCTCTCTAATATCGTACCAGGATCTGCCAGTCCCCCGTTGCAATACACGAGAGAATCATTTCTTCAGACGCCTGCGGGTTCTGTGAAGCCTGTTTGTTGAGCTGCGCAAGATGCCGTTCGAATTTGCAAAAGGTTCTCCTACTCGATGTCCTCATCCGTCGGGCATATGGAGACGTTGTCGCGCCGTGTGTCAAGTGGGGCCTTCCACCTTCGGGGGTAGCGGTGTCGTGTCGAGGTGGTGCATTCGATACGGTCTCTGCAACATGTGTGAGTTCAGATTTGGAAAGACAGAGCGCAGTTCGGAGCCTACCTGAGCCGACACAGGAGCACCAGTGAATGCCGTTAGGTCGATGACGACTTTGGAGCAAAGGTGGGGCCACACATCTGTCCAGTTTGCATAGAACGGCCAGTGCACGGCGCCTGATTAGATAAGCTCCGGAATAGCCCCGCTATCATGGATGAGAATCACTTAATAAGAGTCTATGATTTGGGCAATTAGGACTGTCCAAAACTTGAGCATCATGTATTGTTCAGTGTCTTTTGTTGTTACTGGATCAACAGGAAAGTAAACTTTTCAAGACCGCAGCCTCCGTGGCGGGTAGCAACAGGCAAATCTCAGCACTATCTGTGGCCAAACCCCGGACCAGCATAGTAATACAGTTTATATACAGATGATTATCCAGAAGTTCCGCTTAATGTGTTTATATAGTAAAGATAGCATTAGCGACTTGTATACCTAACAATCTAGGCACGGCTGTAGTATAGCAGCCTTAGAGTAAGAGTGCTAGGCGGGGAGCAACTCTAGTTATACTCTTGAGATATATATAGCGCCAGTTAGCCTTTGCCTCTAGATAGGCCCCAAAGAGCTCTATTGCAATATACCTAACTGTATCTTTTGTGATTTCTAACTTTAGGTAGTGTTTTAAGCTCTAAGATTGACTCGCAGGTAATATAGAAACGACCGTAAAGTGGTCGCTATCTTTCTTGATTGATGCTGCTAGGTAAGGGGGGAAGAGCCGCCTGTACTTGGTAACTGAGGCCCTTGTAAATACCTGGAGGTTGCCAAGGCCCTGTAGTGTAATTAGTTGGTTTGTATCTACCGACAATCCCTCCTAGACTTTATTAACTCCTTTCGGCCAAAAGCCGTTAGCTTTGCTGAAATTCTCTAGTATCTGCCGGGTTGTTATGCTGCTATTGCGGCTCTGCCGTCTCGGCCGCCTTACCCGGTCGGGCTATTGCCTTGCAATCCAGACAAGCTGCTTGACGCGTTTGCGGTTAGGTTTAATAGCAGCCGTTAAGCATATTGCGAGTTTTCTACAGGCGTCAATTGTTAACGCTTTAATCTTAGCGAGAAGTTGTCGCCGTTTAGACCGACCTGGAATATATCCGGTAAATTTGGAAGCCCTCTTTGTCAGTATGTAAGCGGCCTAGGCGGGAATACTGCCGATGTTAAAGAAAATGCGCTTAGTTGTATTACTAGGTGTCTCGCCAAGTCTGTTGTATGCTTTTATATAAGGCCGGGGAAATTTCTGACGGTTCATACAATCCAGGGAGCAAGTCTCCTCCATATGGCCCATCAATACTGACATTAGAATCCCCATTTATAGCGTGTGACAGTGGCGCAGGGACGATGAAAGCAACCTGGTTGCTTGATCCACGGGCTTCAGCTTGCCAAAAGGCCACTGGCAGTAAGATACTTTGAAAGCGAAGTCGGAGTGAGACGTCTGGGAATCGCAGGTAGAAATAGGTACCTGGTCGAGTCCGGATGCTGTGGCTAAGGTGCAACCATATCGTAGTAGTACCGCCGACCGGGTTGTGTTTAAACATACGGGGCTTGCCACGATAGATCTTTCTGGCCAAAAACCCACATCCGTCTGAACCAAGGGTTGTTCATCAGCCCCATGTAGATCTTGAGTACGCCCATCAGGGTCCTCATGCGGTTCTCCTTTGGATCGCCGCCCGCTTGAGGCTTGGGGAAATGGCGGCGTGGAAAAGGCGCGACTGGAACCGTGGCGTCGAAGAGCTCGAGGAGCGACTCTAGGTGGACAGGCAGTTTGCCCTCGTCGAGGGGGAGCTGTCCGAGCCAGGCGAGCGTGGTGCAGGCGGTGGAGTAGATGGCCGCCATGCGAGGGACCTGAACGGCGCGCTCGTCGAAGGACGCTTGGTTGATGCATAGTGCGTCGATCCACAGATACAGCACGCGTTGGCAGTCGGCGCTCTTCCCATCGTTGGCATCGGGCGGGGGCGCGGACACCGCCGTGAGGCCGCGCTCGAGCTCGTCGCGGTACACCCAGATATAAGCGAGGGCCTGACAAAGATTGCCTGTCACCGGTAGGAACCGGCCGTTAATCTCGACGGGGACCTGGTTGGTAGTGTCTCCCCAGACGTATGAAAGAGCAAGGTATGGCGGTGCGGTAGCGAGATCGTGATGCTCGAGGTGGAGACCCTTGAAAATGCTGGACCAGGCCTTACCACTGTCCTCGGGGTTGATGGGTACGAATCTTACGAGGCGGATCTCCGAGCCGCAGAGAGGCTGGTACTCAAAGCTTTCCATTTGCAATCTCGTCTTCCGCCGCTTTCTGCGGAAAAGGGAGCACTGACACGGACGGCCAGCAGCTCGTAGAGCTCCCGTGGCCAAGTGGTCCTTATACAAGGTCGACCTACAGATACTTTAGGAGGCAAGCCTATGTACGACCTCGCAGCGCGTGACAAGCGCCACTCGATATTTTGCGGCTGAGCCATATTGTGCATGGGTGCTGGCCATGATGGATGAGGGACCTCGAGGGTCTCCAGCTGCCCAGATGCAGTCAAACGTTGCACGACCGTTCAGCCGCACCTTTGAAAAGAGTAACGTGCCCAGACAGCATCCACAGCATGACGCTGCGGCTGTTTTTGACTGCAAGTGGTGCCACGCGGTTCCATACAAACCGTAAGTAGCCTTTTATCAAGGTGCGATAAACGCAGGACGAGCTCTATCTGAGCTAGCTTGCCAAAAAAAAAAAAAAAAAAAAAAAAAAAAAAAAAAAAAAAAAAGACTTCACTCTAATATCAAGAGCTTATTTGTCGGCGAATGTGCCGGGAAACTCTAAATGGCATGCACGGATCGGGATACGGCGGTCCGCTTGTGTCGACTATAGCAATTTTTGGATGCCTGGGGTCCCGATACCCCCCATCATCCCGAACTTTGGCAGGTTGGTGAGCTCGGGGGAGTAGCCGATCAGAGGGCTTGTATATCGGTTCCGAACTCGCTGTACCAATTGTAAGAAGACCTTGTTGAGCAGCGGGCCTCATCAAGGAGCTGACGCTTTACCTATCTGCAACCCAACCCGTACAATATGGAATTAAGATACAGTTTTCTATAGATAAGAGTGGCTTAGGGCGTTATCTTGGGGCGCTATCCCGTTAGTGACCATCTAGTCTAGATGCTGGACTCTGGTCGGAGAGAAAGTTCCTGCTCTGCCTGACTCTGGTATATAAGTAAATCTGTTCCGGTCAATGGTAGGCATGTGGTGTAATGGTAAGATCCCGACTCCTAAGATGGTGATGCTGGTTCGACCCCAGCCATGTCTATAATTTTTCTTTTTCCACCCCATGCATGAAGATCAACGCACAACACGTCCACAAGTTGCATATCTTCACAAAGGGCTCCGGCCTCTAAATAGCTCAGGACAAAACGAGGAAATCACTGCTGGAAGGGAAGTCTCAGATGAGATTCATAGTATGCCGGAAATACTACTCAATACTATTGGTAGCATCTTACTTATATAGCGGTATATCTCAAGGGCTGTCATGATAGTTCAAGTCTAACGGTGTTTATATCTATAGTGAGAACAGCATTCATCGATCGTCATGCACATTTGGATTATTCCTGATTTTATTCCAGCCATATATGGAAGCCATAAAAAGCGCGCCGTGTTAGGGAAGTCATATTCTCATTAGAACCTAATTTATCGCTATTCTTTCATCCGCCTCCACCGGTCCAGAACAATAATTGGCCACAGCAGTTATTGCACTCTTCGCAGCCTGATCATCATATCTCTGTCCGGAGGTGCTGCAACTGCATTGGCATATTTTGTGTCGTTCATCGCAGGTCGATTTGAAGAAGTACCATCCGCCTTTACCCATCCAGTGAATTCGACATCAAAGTTCAACACGAACATGGCAACTACAAGTAGTACCTCTGGTTTTGCAAGGTTGCGTCCGGCGCAAATCCCTGATCCACCGCCTATGAGTAAAGCGTCCAATATTAGCCCGAATCTGGGGACAGCGTGAAATATGACAAGACACCGGCGTTGTGGCCACAACGCCAGCCAGTAGTCGCTTGTGGGTACTCACCATATGGAAAAAAGAAACCCGCACGACCCGCAATAGAGAACTCGAGGCTCTTAATAGTCTTTCCTGTTCCGTCTTTCTTCTCTATTTCTTTGATGTGACGATGAGCCCAGAACTCGGAGGCCGGATGATCTGGCGCTCCCCCTATATCAACATGCGGTCAGTTATGTCTGTTCCAGAAGAGACCAATGTGATTGTACAACGAAATAAAACACCTCCGAAATCTCAATGGCTGTGAATTCAGTAGGGACGGCAAAAATATACCCCACAGATCTGAATAAGGAAGGGGTCCCACTCACACACGGCTTCGTCAAGATGAGCGACTTCGGTGGGAGCTTGAAATACAGAGCCTATAGGGAAAGAGTAGCCAGATATGTTGACAGGATCCGTAGATGTCCTGGTGATGAGTACCCCAACGTGTAGGCGAAGGCATTCCGTAAGAACAGACTGTAGTAGGGGCAGGGAACATAAGACTTGGTGATCCAAGCTTCCAGCGTCAGGACCGTCAGCAATTTTAGCTCGCCGAACTTCTTCTTTAATTGCTTGAAAGAGCTTGGGATCCCGAAATATTTCCATGAGAACCCATGTGCACACAGGGATCGTATTTGCATGGAGTCTGTCGAGCAAAGTGGAATTAGTCCTGGAGTAATAACGAAATGTTCTGCACATGTGCGGATTGTGCCTTACCCGAAGAGAAACAAGCAATAAGCTGCACCAACGCTCTCGGCGGAGAAATCAAAAGATTTGGCCCACTGGCCGAGCTCTCTTGAAATTCTAGCCCCGAAAACGGGCTCCCAATCTCGGTCCGCGATGGCAACCTTGTTGTCCCAGTCGAATTCGCGATCGGCAGTCTCGTACCACTTGATACACATGGCACGGAAGCGATCGCGGACTCGAATCCCTTTTTGGTTCATCCAACTAGGCAATCCAAATGCCAGAGCCTCGACAACCTGCTCGTACTCCCAAAATGCATCGACGAATCCAGGATTGACTTCCAGGATTCTCTTGCCCATCACCGCATGAGTTGCTGCCGTCGCCATGTCTTGCCTCAGCAAATCATAAAGTTGCACATTCTCACTCCATTTGCCAGCTTGAAATTTCGCGAGTTGAAGAGCGAAAAACCTCTGAAAATGACGGGAGAATACTTTCACAGGATGCGTGCTGACAAGAGATTCGTCGTACATGCGATGCATTGCACGCCAAATGCGCTGCTCTGGAGAAGAATCCGTAGTGCTACCATTGCGTGGCTTACTTGCCGCGCCGGTCTCATCTCCTATGAACTTGGCCACGTCCTTGGGTGTGTATCCCGCAGAGTGCTGAAGTATGCGAATGACCCAGGGTTCTGAGGAGAAAGAAGCGCGGAAGATGGCTGAGACGTTGCTGCTGCCGGTGACAAGGTTCAACTTCATAGGACCGAGTCGACACTGCACGACAGGACTGGTTCTCAGTGCCTCTCTTTCATTTTGCGCCTTTGTCAGTGTCATTCCTAGCCACGGCATGATAGATCACAAGGTGACTCACCTTACTCGTGAAATAAAAACTCTCTTATTCGTCATGAATTGCCATGTGTTGGAAACGAATGGGATGGTTTCTCCCAGTCGGGGAGGTCCCTGGAAGTCAGTTCGTCTCTGCATCTTGACAAGCAAAATGATAAGAGGAAGAACCAACAGCAAAACCGCTGGCATTGTGCTCGACAAGTTCGCCATGTTCACAATTGATAAGATATTCGCTGAGCTCGGCAGGTTCAAAGATGGTACCGATCTTGACAGTTTCAGGAAGGATCTGACTTTAATGCAGCGCAGCTTAAATTATCTAACAAAGGCACAAAACTGTTGGCCTGGCCTTCGGTCACATCATCATCGCTTCCTAGCGCCACTCCCTTCCCCCTCCCAGGTAGTCTTTGCCATTAGAAGATAACCTCTGTGGACATTAATGTCTAAATTTACCACGCCGATGACTTTTACATAAAGATATCTTTCAAAGTAAATGCAAAAATATATATAAATAGATTCTGCTTTAGAATAAATAGATGGAAATACAAGTATATTAATTATATATTTATTATCAGAGTTGTGACAAAATATATACATTTTAGATATACACTTTTTTAAAACCTTAATAACTTCTTAAATAATAAATTTAAAGCTTAAGTAATATAAGAAACCCTAATTTAAATACTCTAAAGGAATTTAATATATAGTTCTTTTAGGGTTAGGGGTAAGGTAAAGAGGTTTTTACAGGGGGGTAAAAATTAGAGAAATTTGAAGAGAAATATATACAAAATATATACAAATGTTACCCCTGTCTACAGCATTACGTGATAACCCTATCCCTAAGAAAAATATATCATTAGATAGCGCTTCTTTCGAAATTTAATATAATGTTACTTTTATAAGTATTAAGAAATCCTAATATATTTTAAAACGTGTTTAAAAAGTTGTATATATTTTGTATATATTGTGTCAATACTCTGTTTATTATATATTATATTATAGTTTATTTAATATAATATTAATATTATTTATTTTATCTTAATTATAGTAACTTTTTATAAAAGAATTTATAGAAAATTTAAGAAATTTAACTAAATTATTTAAATTTAGTGATTTGGGTTTTTCTTTAACTGGTATATAAAGTTGTTTGATTTAAAAGTAGGGTAACAGGGCAATTTCCCAGTGGTATCAACAACTGTCAAGGTCAACTGAGCTGCTGAGTTGGTTCAAAGTGGGGCAGATCTCGGTCAATACTACTATGTAGACCTGTTGGCTTCCCACCCATGCTCCTGACGTCGCATTATTTGCAAGTCTTCCGGCCAACAGTCACTGCGCCTCAGCCTTGCCTGTGCACAAACGGAAATCCAGCCTACTTGCCAAGACAATTCCAGCTAGGCACCGACCGGGCGGTTACATGGCCAATCAATCAGACTTGATTAATGTTGAGACCCGCAGTGCAGTATCTCACCTGAGATTTCTTTTCCCCACCATTCGCGGCTGAACTTGAACATCCAGCTGCGATGCAACACAGTATGCAGCCAGCAAAAAGGCGCAGCACCGTATCTTCAAGCAGGCACACGGTATTTTGATGTGATGCAGATGAGCCACCGGCTGCACCACATGCTCTCTTGTGCACAGCTAGGGGGCCGGCCCGGTTGGAACGCCTTCACTACGGCACTTGCCGTCGTCAGCCTCGTCTCACCGTGAAATATATCCATGAGCTAGCATTGTGGATCCCTTTTCACAAGCGCCCAAATGCAATCCTTCCGATGATTTGACATCGGGTGACCTCCACGGTCCGAGTGATCATCCAACAACGCCTAGTCTAGTACCCAACATGCATTGTTGTTCCTAGCACCAACATGTCCTGGCAAAAGAGTCACCTACCCTTTCTGATTTTTTTTTTTGGAAAGCCAGCTGCGGGGCGGGTAGATCCACATTAATCGGTTGGCGCCAAGCTCGACTTGCCCCATCGTCCCAGACGAGAAGGATCGGGATCCTAAAATTAAATAATTTCAGCAGATCACGTAACGGCCGAATTCCCCGCTTGAGGGAATGCAGTATTCTGGAGCACTATTGCCGACGTCTTGTGAATCGTCATGTCAAGGAGTCTGAGACCACTGAATAGTAACCTACCTAGATAGATAGACTCGTAATTTCGCTCAAAGAGGAAAGCCCATGACACTCGACAAAAGCTGGCGATTGTGGTGAATCGAGTATTGCGACTTCGAAATACCGCGTAAACTAGCAGCCACTTTCCCGATTATAAACCAGCGGGATACTGTCGGGCATGTTTGACCGCTCTGCGGACGGAATGAACAGTGACCTGCAATGCATTTACACAGATGAGCGAGGTGGACAGGAACGCTTTAAATTCAAAATCTTCAAACTATAATTCTAGGATCGTCTACTCCACACAAGTGGAACGCGCTCAGGGTGCATTAGTTGCAGCAGTAGTCCCCCGTACTCTGTGTTCTTCTCAATGAAGTCTAGTACCCTTGTCTCAGACTCTTCGCAGGTTTCAGTTTCGTGTCGAAGTGGTTCAACTTTCCAATCTCGGAACATAGACGCCAGAAGCGCCACCCATTCGACTTGTGAGAATCTCTTTGCTGGACAGTCTCGTGATCCCTCCGACCACCCAAGGTGGTTTCCACGCGAGGGAGCAGGCAGCAGGATCTCGCTGTTGCTGCTAGACTGCCCGATCCAGCGTTCTGGCTTCCACTCTTGCGCGTCTGGTCCCCAAAA